GAGTCAGCACTGAACCGTTGCCCCTACTGGCCTCTTCCTTTGTGCACATGGGATTCTAGCTTTGTGACACCAGCGGGACAGAACCCAGAGGTCTAACTCCAGCAGCTGCTGCCCCTGCTTCACGCCTGTTCCCAGCCCTTGTCTCCAACTGGTGCTTTCCCTTGCAGGAGATGGCAAAATCAGCTTGAGCACATTTATGAACAGCATGATGAGTACACAGAGACCATCCCAAATCGAAAGTATGTGAAAACAAAGACTCTACAGCCATTGTATATGACGTGCACCCCCAAATGGGTGCTCTCAGGAAGGTGGAGATGCACTTTTTTTGCCCTTTCCTTGCTAAGAACAGGTCTGTTATCCCCAGCTGGTCCCCTACAATGTGTTTTGGTCCAGAACTGGCATTTAGTTGCCTCTGCAGCTAAAGGAACATGGGACATAGCAGTGGAAGGAACTTTCCATTCACCAAGGCCAGTGTCCTGCTGTCACAGGAACCATGGCTGAGAATCCCTTTTGCAAACTAATTGAACTACATCTTAAAAACTGATTTTTTTTGTCTCTATTACTTCCACTGGGTGGCTATTCCAGGACCTGATTAACAGTTACACACTGCCTTCTGATTTCCAGCTTAAATTTATTCATGCCCAGTTTATACTCACTGTTCTTTGTACTAACATTGTTTTTTAGGTTAAATAGCTCTTCTTCCCTGGTGTACGCCCCCCACACACACTTCATTTAAGCACCCCAGTGAAACGGACTGATTTTTCCAAAGTGCTCGGCACTCAGAAATTCCCCTTAAGTTCATCAGGAGCTGCTGTTTGTTCAGTGTTTTTAAAAACCATGCCACTGATTTTAGGTACTTCTGTACAGACTGTGGTCATATAACTTTAAGTCACTACTTCTATGGGTAGCAGCTCCAGTTTTCAATGGTTTTGTACTTTAGGAAGTCCTCAAAATTATATTGTAGGCATTTAGGTGCCTACCTACATCTTGGTTTCTCTCTCCTTCCCCATCAGTGAAATGGAGAGAATAGCACTGCCCTGACTCTAACATTACAAGGATGACTACGCTAAAAATTGTGAAGTTCTCCAATAATTTAGCAATGGGGGGCAAAGTATGTGCATCAGAGAAATAATCCTAAAAGGAAACTAGTTTATAAATTCTAGCTTTGGTTGAGACATTAGTGTTTTGCATCCTCATCCTTGAGAGGAGGATTTGCAGCTTTTGTGGTGTTGCTGCTTGAATGGCAGGCATTAGATAACAGTTATATATCAAAGATGTTATGCCAGAAAGTCTAAACAGTCCTTACCATTTCCCTTTCTGGGGTGCTGATTAGGGAACAGGGAAAGTGTAGAGGTCAAACCCCAACATATCCTTTCTACTTAAGACGACAGACTCAATATCCATAACCTGGATTCCATTCTGGCCAACATGGGGATCCACTTAACCATGAGGAGATGCAGGAGGCCCTGAAGTTTGTGACTATTGATAGTGAGCATCTCCCTGGTCTCTCTCTGCTCTTCAGCAGTTTTCATAGTCTTGTTCTTCCCAGCCACTGCTGTGTGAATTCCTGAGCTGTGTGCTCCATTTTAGCTGAGGGGAACATGAATTTGAGTGAATTCATTCAAGGAGTGAGAGCAACTCAGACCCAGTCCTCAGTAAAAAGTGAGCAACAGCTTTACTGGGAACATAAGAATCTAAGATGAGAAGGGGCCTCCTAGGCTATCAAGTCCAGTCCCCTGCATTTACAGGTAGTCATACACCCAAGAAATCCCCAAAATGATTGTGTGACCCTCACACACAGCTACAAGGCACAAAAACATCAAAAACACCCCATAACATGCCATAGGTTGCAGGGGAGACAAAGGCAGTGCTAATACCCTGGCACTGCATTGGCAAGGAAGTAGTTTGTTAATACATGCTCAAAAGAGACTAAGAAAAGGACTGTGTCCTGTGCTATAGAGAAAAAAACCCCTTCAGTCTATTTCAGTCTGACCTAGGGGATAAATTACTTCCTGACCCCATTAGAAACTCAGTCTGTTTGTCTTTCAGCTGATGCCAGATCTTCATCTAATGTAAATCAACATAAATGTATTAGCATCCATGGGGCATTGCCAATTTATAGCAGCTAAAAATGGTCCCTCTTTCTCAACCTTGTTCTTAGCCTATCTGTTATAGGTATGTACCTGAAATAGTCTATCTGGCACATGGCCCTCATCACTGTTGTCTCAGGAAGTAGATAGACAATGCCACATGCCATGCTGATAAAAGGTGTCTCCAGTATGGGTATATACAGCACCATGCATATAATTTTATATAATTTTTGTAACGTACACAGCATTGGTACATTTAATTTTGCTTGATTAAGAGGAAAAGATGGATATCAATGACCTGGACTCTATTCTAGCCAACAAGGGGATCCATTTAACTAATAAGTTGCTGCAGGAGGTCTGGTGGCATTCTACAATTAACGGTGAGTGTTGGGCAGATCACACTGTGGTGTGCACAGCATCGCATATATGTTTCTGTGGCCCAAACATTGTTGCCAGTGCACCTGCTCAAAAACATCAGACACTACACCTGTGACTAAAGGGCACTTGATCCATTTGGAAAAGAATCCTGAGATGCAATGACTGATATCCTTTCATAGAATCAATGGACTGTAAGGGACCTGTAAGATTATCAAGTCTGGTCCCCTGCCATAGGCAGGAGATTAAAAAGTGCAAACTAGCTCAATGAGGTGCTTATCCAGCCTCCTCTTGAACACCTCCAAGGATGGTGACCATACCACTGCTGCTAGGAGTGTGTTCCAGGATCTAGTTACCTTTACAGAGAAGTTGTTCTTCCTTCTGTCCAGCCTAAATCTTTCCTCTGTTAGTTTGTGACCATTGGTCCTCATCCTCCCAAGGGGTGCCTTCCTGAAGAGTTGCTCCCCCAGATCTTGGTGTTCCCCCCGACATATTTGTAGGCGGCTATCAAGTCTCCTCACAGCCTCCTCTTACCCAGACTGAACAAGCCCAGCTCCCAGTCTATCCTCATAGGGCCTATCCTCCAGGCCCCCAATCATGCGGGTGGCCCTTCTCTGCACCCTCTCAAGTGTATCCGCATCCTTGAAGTGCAGTGCCCAAAACTGGGCACAGTACTCCAGTTGTGGCCTCACCAGCACTAAGTAGAGAGGGAGAAGCACCTCTGGATCTGTTAGTAACACATGGGCTCATACACGCCAGAGTCCTATTCACCCTGCTGATGACTTCATTGCACTGTTGGCTCATATTCATCTTCTAATTGATTGTGACCCCCAGGTCCCATTCAGATGCAGTGTTAGCCAGTGGGCTCCCGCCTATCCTATAGTTAGAGTGAAGGTTCTTCCTATCCAGATGAAGTACCTGGCACTTTCCCCTGTTGAACCTCATCCAATTCTGATCAGCCCACAGAACCAGGCTAAGTTGTCCTGGATCCTTGCCCTACCCTCTGGTGTGCCTGCATTTCTCCACAGCTTAGTATCGTCCACAAACTTAATCACAGAGCAGGGATTTTTCAACCTAATAAGTATACCCGCAGCGACCCACTTTTTAATAAGTGCACCCCTGAGAGGGAGAGGTGGGGAGGCAGGTGGTGAGGGGCCAGATGCAGAGCCGGGTGGTGGTGGGGGGAGGGATGGCGAGCAGCAGAGCGGCAGCAGCACGGTGTCTGTGCAGCCCTCTTCTCACCCTGCCCTGGCCCTGCTCCCATGAAGCAGCAGCACAGGGCTCCATCCCCGCCCACCCTCGTATACCCCCTGGGACCTTTCAAAGTACCCCCAGGGGTACACATAACCCCAGTTGACAACCACTGTTATAAAGCATTTCACCCCCTCGTCCGAGTCATTAATAAGTATGTTAAAAAGCACAGGTCCAAGCACTGATCCCTGTGGGACACCACTAGAGACAGTCCTCCAGGACGAGGCCATCCCATCGATCACAACTCTCTGGGACTGGCCTCTAAGCCAGTTATCCACCCACCTCACTGTAGGCTGGTCCAGGCCATTACCCTCCAGTTTAATTGTCATGAGAGACAGAATCAAAGGCCTTACTGAAATCTAAGTAAATGATGTCTACCTCATGATCCTTGTCCAGCTGGTTAGTTACCTTGTCGTAAAAAGACACCAGGTTTGTCAGGCATGATCTACCCTCCACCAAGCCATGCCAGTTGTTTCTTAATACCCTGTCAGTTACAAGCTTGTGATTTATGGCCTCTTTAACAATTTTTTCAAAAGTTTTTCCAAGGACCGAAGTCAAACTAACCGGTCTGTAGTTTGCAGAGTCACTCCTCCTCCCTTTCTTAAAGGTGGGCACCTCGCTGGCCCTCTTCCAGTCATCCGGGACCACTCCTGAGTTCCACGGAATTTTGAATATCTTCACCAAGGGCCCTGCTGAGTTCGGTCAGTTCTTTCAGGACTCTTGGATGTAGGTCATCTGGCCCAGTAGACTCGAAAACATCCAGTTGTTCTAAGAGGACCCTCACCTGTTCAGTACTGATTTCATGTTGTCTGTAGGCTTCTTCATGTTCTCTGGGCCCCTGAATGGGTGCACAGCTCCTATTAGCCTTCTGGAATACTGATGTAAAGTATTCATTTAGGAATTCTACCTTTTCATGGGGACCAACTGTGAGCTGTCCCTCCGTGTTCAGTAGGGGTCCCACAGTGGAACTTGATTTTTTTCTTGCGCCCCATGTACCTGTAGAAGGACTTCTCGACGTCCTTTATTTCAGATGCCAGCTTGATCTCTATGCCTGGCTTGGCTTTCCCCATCTCATACCTGCAGACCCTGGTTATATAAGCGAACTCTTCTCTGGTTGCTGAACCTTTTTCAAAAGTTCTATAATGTCCCTGTTAAGCCAAGCAGGTCTCTTGGCTTCTTTCCCACTCTTTGATCATGTGGGAATGACTTCTTTTTCGGCAGTAAGAATTGCTCCCTTGAAGAGGCACCATCTCTCCTGCATGCCAAGGTCAAGGAATCCAAAGCCTGTGCAGTGACACCATCTGCGAAGTCTCTGGTTGACCTCTTCAATGCACTCCTCCCTTCATTGGCCTTAGCCCCTGAGTGGGAGGATTGAGGAGAAGACCACTTGTGCTCCTAGTTCCTTGAGCTTGCCCCTATGGTCTTGTAGTCACCCATGATTCTCCCACAGCTGTTTCTTCCCATATTGTTGGTGCCCACATGGACAAAGAGCATGGGGTAGTGGTCCATATGATGGACCAGCTTAGGTATCCTTTCCATAACATCTCGGATCTTGGCTCCTGAAAGGCAACAGACCACTCAAGCAGGAGGGTCTGGACGACAAATGGCCCCTTCTGTGCCCTGCAGGAGGGAGTCTCCCATGACAGTCACCTTTAGTTGCTTCCTTAGTGGGGGCAGCTGCTCCCGTCCTGTTTGCAGTACAGAGGACATGGATGCCCCATCCACCCATGTTGTGAGGGCTTCATAGCTATTGTGCAGGGTTATTGGTGGAGCCACTGATGCGCCTTGTGGCTTCGGGCCTGAAGTGACCAATTTACACCCACTGTTGGTTGGGTCATCTTGCTCAAGCCAGTTCTTCTGCCTGGTTTCCATAGTGTCCTTCTCTGTGTGCAGGGCCTGGCAGTACACATTGATTTCCGCCTCATGGTCCCTGATAACTCGTACCCTGTTCACCTCCTCCTGAAGCTCCCTCACCCAGCCCTCCAGAGTGTCCACCAGTAAGCACATCCCACAAGCTGGGGTGCCAGTGCCCCAGCTCTGTCTCCAGCAGATATGCCAGGCAGACCTTGCAGCCTGGAGTCAAGGATTCTGTCTGTGTGGAGGCTGGGACTATAGTCTCTGTTTGGGTAAAGACCTCCATGGTACCATGGGTGGGTGGTCCATCCAGACCTAGAAGCCCAGGGGTGTGGCACATAACCATTACCATGTTTGCGGGACAGACCTGAGTCACATGGCCTCCTAGATGGTTGTTTAGGTAGTAGATTAGGTGGGTGTGTGGAATTATCCCTTCTGTATTCAAGAGCCCTTCATCCTTCTGATGTTTGTATCTATCAAAGGCCCTACACATTGTCTTTGCCCTGTGATCCTGGCTCCAGCTTCACCCACCCATCCCACTCCCAGATATCACTCCCTGCCTGCCTGCAGCCCCATCCCATCTGCCCAGCTGAGCACACCCTGCCTGCATGGGTCCCAAGCCAGTTTCTATGGTGACCCCCTCACCCACCTGCCTGCTCTGTCCGGCACTCCCAGAAATGGTCATGGGGCTGACAAGCCCAGGCTGGATAATATCAGTTGTCTCTCCCCTCTGCCTTTCCCTCTGCACTGGATCAGCACCATCTCCTTGCTGAACTGGGTCAGGTCAGCCCCCTCCCCTTGCAGCAGCTCACCAAAACACCCTAAGTGGCTCTCTAGCCCAAATAACTGCCCTGCCCTGGGTTAGGACCATACTTAAGCCAGCTGGGGCAGTGCCCAGGCCATTACTTTGGCTACATCATGGCAGGATGGACTTCTTATCAAGAGGCTCAGTAAGAGCTGGATTTGGTCACAGCTGTGGAGCACCAGGAGCACCCTGAGGGTTTCTGGTCCTGGAGGATCCTTGTGCTCCTAGTTGCAAGTCAAATGAAGGTGTCAATCCAGGAGATGAGGAAGCCAGAAAAGAACAGGCGGACTATCTGAGGCTGTCTGTGTTACTAGGCTGCCTCCACCATAGTGGTATACAAGGCCAACTACAACATTAATGGAGACCTGGCATCTGGCAGCAGAAAAGACCTCAGCCTGCCTAGTGTATACCATCTTCCCAAAAAACAGAAGCTTACTTGCTTGTTTGTATGTATTTACTTACCAACAAAGTATTTTTAACCCACTGCACATTTGTCTTTCATGCCAGAGAAACCTGGGCCAAGCTTTGACCAGAGCCCCAAAACAGATATGACACTGAAATCCCTGCCAAAGAAAATGATGCTAAAACCCCTGCCAAAAAAGATACATGGGTGAGTATGGAGTCAGACATTCACTTCTGATTTTTGGAAATGCAGCCACATGCCTGCAGTGGCCCAAATGGGGGCATCCTAGAGCACGCATCCCTGCTCCACTGGAGCAGACAGCTTGGGACAAAGCTAGGCCACCCAACATGTGAAGGGAATTTACAGGGGAGATGCAAAGCATCTTGGGATGCTTGGGGACAGTGAGTTAACTTGAATCTGGAGGGGATCTGGGGCAAAAGTTCAATAAACTGATTTATTCTAAATCAGTTAAGTCTGATACTACATCCATCCAGACTTATCTTAAACCAGTTTTGGCCATTTTGAAAGCAGTTTATGTGCACTGAACTTCTGTTGCGTTACAGATTTGAACAGGTTTCCGGTCACTTACACTGGTTTATGTGTAATTTCTGTCCCTAGCCTAAGGGCTGGTGAGCAGAGGCATGAGTAGGGACTACAAGTCTGCTCCATGCTAGCCACACTCACTGGCTCTCTAGCAGCAGTATAGGCTGGGGAGGAGAAGGAAAAAGGCCCCCCACACCACTTGGATCACTTCCTCTGCCCCTGGATTGCCCCCTGATCAGCCCCTCCATCCCTGGATTACCACTCTGCCACCACAGTCAACCCAAAAATGGCAGCAGTGGTGGTTACAGCTCGGGTTCCCCCTCCCTGCCTGCTCCTGGGCTCCTTGCTGCCCACACCTCCCTTGTGCACCTGGATCCAGCCCCCAGAGCTCTGCAGCTATCCAGCAGCTCCTCACCTCTCCTGCCCCCCTTCAGCTGCAGGATCCACTAGGACTGGATCTGGGTGTGGGGGAGCAACGCAGTCTGCAGGAAATCTGGGAGCAGACAGGGAAGAGGACCCTTCCTCCCCACCAATGCCTCTGGCACACTCAGGCTGATCAGGGCAGCAGGGTGGCAGTCCAGGGGTGGAAGGTTAAACTGGATGATGGTAGGGGTGATTGGGGCAGCAGGGAAGGAATATGGGTGGCAGAGTAAGGAATTAACATGGTCAGCGTGCGATCTGGAGGCAAAAGGGACCACAGCCCAGCAGCTCCTCCCCTCTCCGTTCCCCTTTCTCTTCCCCTTTCCAACTCCTGCCCCACCCCAACCCCTTCACCCTCCCTCTCCACTCAGATATCATCCAGGCCTCCAGCTGTCAATCCCATAGAGGCCTGGATGATATCTAGTCCACCTGAGAGTAATGATTCTTGGGATACTGGAAGACTCTGCAGATTGGCAGTTTTCTCTCAGGTGAAAATCCAGAAGCTAGGTAGCACAGCTCAAAGATAATCTTTGCCAGAACTGGTGTAACTTTAAGACACACAACCACTTAGCACTTGTTAACAAGCCTTAATGCACTATCTTCAAGTTTTAAGTGTCCTTAACATGGTCTAATTGTTACATGTAATCTTGTTCTTAGACCATACCAGCACAGCTGAGACAAGAGTTTGCATCTCTGCTTTTTATCCTCCCCTAAATTCTTGATCCATCAGTGGGAGCTGTGTATCTGTGGGCCAATGTCAGTTTGTAGCTTTTAATTGTCCATCTTCCTTTTTTATTGTCACATGGCAGGGAATTATCAGGCATCCTCCTAGACAGGAGTAAGTGCAAAGCAGCAAAGAATATGACCAGGAACCAACTAGAAGGTAATGTTACCTAGTTATCACCTCCTGTGTAAGTTTTGTTCTTTAGCCTTTGAGATAATGATGACAGTTTATATCATGGCAGTACTACATGGTCTCAACATGCTTATTCATGCAAGAAGTGAAAGATCATCCCTACTCCAAGGATCTTACAATTCACAGAAACTAGAAAGAGAAATAAAATATCATTATCCCCATTTACAAATGAGACCTGAATCACAGAGGGAATAAGGGACTTTCCTGGGGTTACACAGGACACCTGTGGTACAACCAGAATTGAACCAAGACCACCTGATCCCTGAGTCTTAAACTTAGGGTTGCACTTTCCTTCCTCAGATTCATGATTCAAACATGAAAGTGAACGACCCTAACTGCTAGAAGCAGCCCAGAATAGCTGTTAACAGTAGTTAATAGTCATTCCAGGCTGCTTCTAGCAGTTAGGGTCTACTGCTTCAAAAAGAGCATAGGCCATGAAGCCCTTCAGCCTTATCTGTTGAATTTGTGGTGCTTTAACTGTCTGCCTGCAGCATTCTACGATGCCTACAATTTCTTCACAAAGGACTCAGATGGCAACATTGACCTACATGGGCTGGAGATGACTACAAAGAAGTTGGGGCTTAATTTAACTGAACAAGAAGCCTATGATGAGCTGGCATATGCTGATGTGGACAGTAAGTGTACATGAATATTCACTTGTTCCACAGTGGAAAAATTGTTGTCTCAATCTCCCAGCACATGCACAGTAGGGGCATCTACATGTGCTATTAATTCAAGTAGGCTTACTGCACAGTAAAAGTACTGCGCAGTAAACTACCAGGGAACATGTGTACACGTGCTCCTTCCTGGGAGCAGATCTGCAGAAGCCAGAGGGAACTCCAGACTCCCCCTGGGTGCTAGCCTGGGGGTTGGCAGGGAGCATGGGGCCAGTCCCCATGCACAGGAAGCCATAAGAGCTCTGCTGGCTGCCATACACATCAAGAGGGGTCCTGATGTGCACAGGGTCAGGAGACAGCTGCTGCTGGAGAGCATTCCCACTCTGTGCATATGGGGACAAGCTCTGTGCCTAGTGGAACTTTCCCATGAAGCTTGGGAACTGTCCCATTCTGGGGCAGGTCCCAGCCAGCTCTGGGCTGGGCAGGGCATTCTCCTCATGCAGGCAGCTCCCGGCCCCAGCTCCACAATGGCAGCCAGGGATGGGAGATTCCTCCCAGCCCCCCGCAGCTTCCTACTTCTGAGGTGGGCTCCAAACACAGAGTCCAGCAGCAGGCATCTCCTGGCCCAAGCTAGCTCCACAATGGTAGCCGGGGCTGAGATTGCTGCCTGGCACCAGCAGCTACCTGCTGCTGTGGCGGGCTTCAGTTGCATAGCCCAGCCAGGACAATGTCCTCCCACCCTGGTAGCAGGCAGCTCCCGGCCCTGGTTTGAGCAGGGGGACATTGTCACAGCTGGGCTCTGTGATTGGAGCCCATCGCAGCAGCACGCAGCTGCTGGGAGCAGGGAGCAATATCCCAGTCCTGGCTCTGATTGTGGAGCCAGGGTCGGGGAACATTGTCCCAGCCAGGCTCCACAATTGGAGCCCACCCTAGCAGCTGCTGGGGGGAGGATATTGTTCTCCCACCGCCTGCTGCCTGAGCTGACTGGAAGCAATAACTGCACAGTAGCTACTGTGTGGTAAATCTACTACCTGTTTTCACAGGTAGTAGAAAACCGCACAGTAGACTAATCCAGGGATTTTCAATCTTTTTTTAATAAGTGTACCCCCAGAGGCTGGACACAGAGCGGGGCGGGGGAGGTGGTGTGCAGTCGGACACAGATCTGGGGGCGTGGTGCACAGCCGGATGCGGAGCAGCAGCAGCACAGGGTGGTGGCGATGGTGTGAGCTTCCCTGCGCCGCACCCGCCCCCCCCCATCTGGCCAGCCAGGCAGCGCCTGTATGGCCCATAGAGGGGCGCTGCAGCCCTCATCCCCCCCTCCCTCAGCCCTTCTCCTGGAAGGCAGTGGCGCACGGTGGTGGGTGGCAGCGCTCTGTCCCTGCGCACCCACATGTACCCCCTAGGGCCTTCCCAAGTACCCCCAGGGGTACATGTATCCCTGGCTGACAACCCCGGACTAATCTACTGCACAGTTTAGCTCCTGCGCATAGTTAGCTAGTGATGCTTTACTGTGCAATAGCTTAGTCTACTGCACTGTAAAGTATCTTGTGTAGATACACCCAGGGTAGGCTTAAATCAGTATCTGTCATACTGCAGAAGTGCCTAGAGATCTCATTCACAAGGGCCCAATCCTGGAGTGTAGGGCTCATACCTGTACATACCAGGAGAGAGTCCTCTGGAGCTGATAATCTAAATAGGCAAGACAGAGTAGTGGAAGGAATGATTATTTTTAACTGGGAAAGAGTAATCAGGTGACATGCCAAAAAGCGTCAAATCAAGTCTGAAATAAAGCTGAAATCAGAGTCCCTGATTAGTGCCTTAACACTAAGATCATCTATCTTTGTGCACCTTTCATAGATTTAATAGACATTAGGGCTGGAAGGGACCTTGGAAGATCATCAAGTCCAGCCCCCTGCCCAAAGGGCAGGAAGTCAGCTGGGGGTCATAGGATCCCAGTAAGATAAGCATCCAATTTCTCTTGAAGGTGTTCAATGTAGGTGTTTGAACCACCTCTGATGGCAGGCTGTTCCAGACCTTGGGGGCTCGGACAGTAAAGAAATTCTTCCTTATGTCCAGCCTGAAACGGTCTCACAGTAGTTTATGACCATTTGACCTCGTCATCCCTTGGGGTGCTCTGGTGAACAAACGTTCCCCCAGATCCTGGTGGTCACCCCTGATAAACTTATAGGTGGCCATCAGATC